CCTTCCTGCCCCCCCCAGTTTGGGAGATCACCATGGGAGACTGCTCCCAGATGGAGCAGGGAGGGATGCCAAGAGCAGATCACTGGCTCCTTGTGGGAGCTGCTCACTAACTTTTTCCAAGCAAGGAGTTAGCCTAGAGGTATTGGATCATTTGCTCTGAGTGGAAAAAAAAAAAAAAAAAAAAAAGCAGGATTTTAAGAGTGAGGAATCCACCAGGAAGGGTTTTTGGGTCAGCAGCAGGAGCTGAGGGTCTGACAGCTCCTGCTGTGTCTGTGCACAGGCAGCACCAGGTGAGCTGGGCAGGGCAGTGGGAGCTGCTCAGCCTGACTCAGCCAGGAGGAATGTCAGCCCCAAAGCCCAGGAGGAATGTCAGCCCCACATCCACATCCCCCAGGCCATTCTGGGCCATTCTGGGTGTGGTTTCTCCGGGAGGGAAGCAGCAGCTTGGGGAGGGAAGGCTGAAGGCAGATGGAGCAGGGACCCTGCTGACACACCTACAGGAGATATTTCTGGCAGCCTGCACAGCCTTTGGCCCCTTTTGGAGGAGGAAAACTGCAGTTTAAGGAGGGGGATGAGGGGCTGGAGCAGCACCATGAGCTCCTCAGGCTCTGGGCTGGTGGCACAGGAGTGTAGAGCTGGGCAGGGGGTCTGGGTGGGCAGCAGCATCCCAGCAAAGGAGGATGTGTCAGGCCAGGCTGTGTCTCCTCACAGAGGGAGGAGAAACTGCTGCAAGTCAGCCAGGAACTAAATTCAAATCCAAAGCTCATCCCTGTGTGCCCCAGCACAGCCCCTGGCTCAGTGTTGGCAGCAGGATGTGTGTGCTCAGCCAGGGCAGGGCTTGGGACAGGGATGAATCCAGCAGGGAACTGCCTGGTCAGCAGCAGCAGCAGCTCAGGCAAAGCCACAGAGATAAAGCTTGGCCTTAGGTCTTGTCTCCACGGCTGAAGGGAGAGCAGCAGATGATCACTGTAGGCAGAGAGAAGGAGCCTCTTGGCCAGGATCCTTCTCCCCATCCCAACACAGCTCCTCTCAGCATTCCAAGCAGCATCACTGCCCAGGGATGACTCTGGAGATGCTGCTCAGGCTGAATCCTCAGCTTTGAGTTCTCAGACAGGATTTTCCAGGCACAGCTCTGTGCTGCACACTAAGCCAAGGCACAGAGCCACAGGCACCACCTCCACTGGGACCTCCCTGATCCCCCAAGCTCAGCACAGCTCTCTTATCCCTCCAGCACAGCAAGCTACACATTAAAACCTATATATAATGCATATCTGGGAGCAGCTGAGCCCTTGAACACGAGTCTTGCAGCTGAGTTCTCCTCCCCACAACCTTCATTTGCAGAAGCCTCAGACTTCACCTGGATTTTTCCCTGCTGCCACTTCTCCCTGCTTTAGTTCAAAGTGCTCACACAAAGAGATGAGCCCAGCCCTGAATGCTGCTTCCAGTGAGCAACCAGTCACCCCAGTAGCAGCCAAGGGAGGAGCAGGAGGAGGGTGGAGAGCATCACATCTGCCACCAAGCAGATTCCCACAGAGCTGGCAGGGAGGGCAGAGCTCGGGGTGAACTGGCCCCAGAGGCTTCACCCAGATTTATTGCTGGGGTAATGGCAGAGCTGGAGGAAGCCCAACCCTCTTCCTCCTGCTCCCTTGAAGAAAGAAACTCAGGAATTTGGCAGGAGGCCACGGCTCAAACAGAGGAGACCCTGTGCTGAGGCATGTTCAGAGAAGCAGCCTCTTCCCTGCCAGGATAAACGTTGCTTTTCCACCCCCTTCTCTCAGGACTGAAGATGTTGTCCCTCAGCTCCAACACCAGCAATGCCATTTGGGAAGGGGGAGCTCCTCCTTGGGCTCTCCTTTGCCAGGCACACCTTGCCTGGAGTCTCTTTACTTCCCAGGACACTCCTAGAGCAGCTGAGGGAGAACCAACCCCATCCAAGCCTCTCTCCACCCCAGCAGCCCCAGGGCTGGCAGCTGCCGGAGGCTGAGCCTCCTGTGCCAGCAGCTTCCAGCTGCTCCCACTTCCCTTTGCTTCAAGACAGGCAAAGTGGGAAGAACAAAGGCTCTAAGGCAGTTTCTGTGCAGCACTTGGAGCAGGCAGAGCTCCCCAAGGGCTGGGGCAGGATGGCAGTGGCTGGGAAGGGGTTAAGGCAGCAAGCAGCATCAAAGGGAGCTGGGAGGGAGGGGGTTGAGGAGCTGAGATGGGTCGAGGTTGCGCAGACTCCTTGGAATGTCAGGAATTTCCCATTATTATCCCACTTCCCTTCCAGCAGCCTGGAGGGACAGCACAGCACAGCATCCCCAGGCCCAGGGATGGGAATGTCCCAGGGCCACAGAGCTGGTACTACTGGGATTGTCCATGATCCAGAGGGGAAAGCTTTGGGTCAGGACACTGTGGGGAGCTCAGGGGTCTCCTCTCTGCCAGTCTCAGGAATGGACCCACCACCATGGGGGGCTGAGACCTGCACAGCCCCAAAATAAGCATTTCCCTAACCACCAGCTCATCCTGCCCCAGGAGACAATTCCCCCCCACTGCACTCCAAAAATTCCCAGTTTCACCCCAAAGCTGGAGCTCCACCAGTGCTCTTGCCCACACACAGCTATTTGCTGTTTCCCACCCCTCTGCCAGCCTGTGGTCCAGGTGAGATCCCTGGACACAGCCACAACTGGAATGCTACAAGTCTCCACTCAGCCCAACAGGAGGTTTGGACTTTGAACAAGTCCCAGTCACCACCAACACCCAACACCACCTACAACCACCTATAAAAGCTTGGGAAGTGCAAGGGTTTGGCCAAGGCACCATCAGGTCTCACCACTTCTCTTTTTGCTGTCACAGACATCAGTAGGGAGAATATTTGGATTGGATTTGGGGGAGAAATCCTTCCCTGTGAGGTGCTGAGGCTCTGGCACAGGTTGCCCAGAGAAGCTGTGGCTGCTCCATCCCTGGGAGTGTTCCAGGCCAGGTTGGATGAGGCTTGGAGCAACCTGAGCTGGTGGAAGGTGTCCCTGCCCATAGCAGGGGGTAGAAGGAGATGATTTTTAAGGTCCCTCCAACCCAAACCAGCCTGGAATTCCCTGATTGTTATCCCAATCCTACAGGGATGTTGTCAGGATTAACAACTTTAAGCCCTCTGTGAACAGACCAAGCTGCAACAAGTGCTAAGCACTATTATATCATCTCATTTTCTTGCTAAGAACACACAATCTGTAAGAAGCAGCTACAGGAAAAAAAAACCAACTAAAAAAAATCACATTTCAAAGCTGCTTTAGACATCTTAAGAACCATTTTGGATCCACACAGCTCAGGGCTGAGCAGGGACCAGCCCAGAAAGGTTGATCAAGGGTTCTTCTTGCTAAGGGAAAGTGTGGGGAGGAAACTGCTCAGAGACAGAGGGAAAGGGCCAGGAAAGCTGCACTTGTTCCACCCTGCCCTTCACCCCCCTCCCTGCTCAGGAGAGCAGGATTTGCTCTTCCAGCTCAGTGTTCAGCTTCATTCACCTCCCAGGTCAGTAAACCCGTGTGATTGCCCTTGGCCACGAGCCCAGCAGAGCACAGGCTGTGGGGACACACATGGCCCTGCTCTCACAGCCCATCCCCCTGCTTAAAGGACATTTCTCCTCTCCCCAAACACCTCCTGATCTCCTCTTCTTTGAGGAGACACAGATTGACACCAACTCCATGAAGATCAACTGTCTGCACTGGAATGTTAGACACCTTTTCCTGCCCAAGCTGGGCCTGGAGAGCAGCCACCAGCTGGCACTGAAGCCTGGCAAACCTTGATTTAATACCAGCATTAACTGAGTGTGTGAGCCCTAATTTAACACCACTACTGATCGGGTGTGTGACTCTTCAGCCAAAGCTTCCCCAAAACACTGCAGAGCAGCAGGGGAGAGCTCACCTCTCATTTCAGGGGGAGAGCTGATGTTTAAGAAAGAAGAGGGTGTGAAAAATCCCCCAGCCAAGCCCAGAGGCCTCCCAGCCCCAAGGAGCACCCAGCAGGACTCACGCGTTGCAGTAAGGCTTCTTCTCATAGCCCTTGTAGTTCTTCATGTTGAGGGTCATCTTGCAGGTCTCGCAGTGGAAACATGCTTTGTGCCAGAACTGCAACACACACACCACAGCCATCAGCACCAGGGACCCCCCAAACAGGGCCACAGCCCCCTGGCATCACACAATTCCCACCCAGCAGCCCCCCAGGTCAGTGGAAACATTGAGGGCAGAATCTCCTGACTCATCTAGGAGCAAACTGATCTTCCTGACCCTCCCCGTGCATCTTATCTCAGCAGGGGAAGGAATTGTCTTGCTTCCATAGAATCCTAGGGGTTGGAATGGACCTTAGAGATCATCTAGTCCCAAGTCCAGGAATTCATGGGTTTGGTCAAATAGAGGGTGGGAGAAGTTCCTACTCCAAGAGGCACAAGCAACTCTGTCAGCAGAGGCACCAGCTGTGTTTGCAGGCTTCAAAGTTGCTGCTTTAGGCTTTTTCTGCTGATGTTTGCCAGGTGACAGCCAGAAGAGCAGGTCAGGTGAGGCTGCAGGAGCCAAGGAGACACAGGCAGGGAGGGAAAGGTTCTCATGGGAAGCAGACACAGAGAGCTCAGAGGTCCTCTCTGCTGAGATCACCTCTGTCTGCACCTTGGGGGGCTCAGCCCAAACCTCACCACTGCTCCAGAGGTCACCCCAAGCACCCCCTGACCTCCTTTTTCCTCACAGTGGGGTGATGAGGACAGCTTTTCCCAGCCTGGGAGGCAACAGGGATGAGGAACTGCCCCTAAGCTTTGGGAAAATGTGGTTTTGGCAGGCTCCAGCTGACCCCAAAACCCACCTGAGGTGTCACCTGGAGCAGCACAGCTCTCCTAGCCCAGAGGTCACACAGACCCAAAGGTAAAGACACAGCCCCAAATTCAGTCCATGACCCTCCAGCATTGGTTGCAACAGCCAAGAAATCCTAAAGGAGTGTTTGAAGGGTTTATTTTCAGGCTGTTCTAAAAGAAATGATTTCTACTTGACACTGAGTGAGCTCTAGTGGCTTCCCAGGCTGGAAGGAGCCTGATGGGAACAGCTCAGAGCTGCTCCCAAGAAATTCAAGGTTGGACTCGATGATCTTTTCCAACCTGAGTGAGTCTATGATTGTGATTCTGAGGCTGTTCAGCCTCACACAGACTGAGGTCATAGACTGTGTTTCCTCTGGCATTTGAGGGGTCTGGGGTGAATTCCCAGGCCTCAGACCAAGAGGGGAAGCTAATGCCTGAGCTGGATCAAGGCTACAGGGAAAGCACAACCTGAAGCAACATCTTTACTCACTAGAAATCAGTCAGTCCTGCCCTAGGTTTACCCTCCCTCCTCAGCACCCAAATCACCCTGCAAAACTCTGGGGGGGGGGGGAAATCAGCCAAAAGGCAAATTACAGCCCCAAAATCCCAATTAATGCCAGGCAGTAGCAGGACACACCTGTAACACACACCACACACCCACCCAGGGAGCACAGCTGGTGGTTCTTGCTGACATTTCCATTCCCAAACATTTAAGGAATCATTTCCCCATGCAGCTCCTGCCTGTGCCACCTCCCCATGGACACCACACCCCGAGCACAAACACCTCCAGGCTCTGGAGACCATGACTCAGCCCAGGAGGACAATTTTCCTCCTTTCAGTTGCTCTGAGCAACATATTTGTTCCTTTCCCTCTGGTGAGAGAATTCCTCCAGCACTCACAGCTACTCCAAGAGGCTTTGCCCTGCACCCCTGATCCATACCTCCCTGCCCATCCAGCCTGCACAGGAGGATTTTCCCTGCTCCCAGCTCTTAGATTCCTTAAGGATGAGGATCAACAGCTGAATGCTGAGTCCTTTGGGCTGGTTGGAAGTCACAGCCAACAATGAGTGGTCATTAATAGCCCTCCCCAGCAATAACTGTGCACAGATGCCATCAATGCCACTGCCAATCTGTACAGATGAACTGTCAGATTCCAGAGCCTTTTCCATGAGGAATACCCCAGTTCCCACGAGCTAAGGAGGATGTGTCCCCTGCCTGTGATGAGCACAGCAGGGTGATGCTCCCAGGCAGCCTCTGCCCCACCCTACAGCAATTCCAGCCTATTCCTGCCCCAGTTCCCATTAGGAATCACTCAGCAGTGATGTTCCTGTCCTGGGGCTCTTCCCAAGGGTTCTCTGCATCCTGAGCAGCTCACAGAGCACTATCCTCATCCCTAGGTCTTGCTGCCACTCAGCTCTGTGTAACACTGCTGGCATTGATGCCACATGCACAAAATCTAAGGCAGCACTAAAAGCAGAGCTGGAACACGACTGGACACAGGGGACCAGTGGTTATTTAGGCTTCCAGGAACACTGTGCTCACCCTCCAGCACAGCTGCACGGAAAGAGGACAAGTTTCAAATGGGTTTTGAGAGGAGCATTTAATGCCTGTGCTTTCCAATTCTGAGTCTGAAGTGCTCCAAAGGTCTGGAGGTGATCCCAGGTACAGCCACATCCCAGCAGGCTGGGCTGGATGGGAAGCACACAACATCCATCTGTTCTGGAAGAGATGGAGCCCTCAGAGTAACTTTGCCACCCACAGCAGAGCAGGTCTGGGGACAGAGCTCAGAGCCACAGTGGTGTCTATTTATAGACTCATGGAATGGGTTGGAAAGGACCTTAAATCTCCTCCAGTTCCCATCCCCCTGGTGGAAGGGACACCTTCCACTAGCCCAGGTTGCTCCAACTAGCCTGGAACACTCCCAGGGATGGAGCAGCCACAGTTGCTTTGGGTTGCACCAAGCAAAGCCATTGCTCCACGGCTGGAACAAGCACCACCAGAGCCTCCAGGCTCTGAGGCCAACACGAGGAGAGGCTCCTGGGGCTGAACACAACCCTGCAGAGCTCAGCTGAAGTCACTCAGTTCGGAGCAGCTCCGTGACATCAGCCCTCGTGGGCTCAGCCCTGCGGCTCCGGCAGCTCTGGGTGTCACTTCCCCAGCGGAAGCCAAAGACAGCACCAGCACCTTCCTCAGCAGGGCCATGGGGGAAGGGACAGCAACACGTCCCCAGACCCACACAGGACACTCAGGGACAGTGTGAAAGCCACAGGGCAGAACCCACTGGTGGAGTGTCAATGGGTCAGGGCTGTGAGTGCTCACACTCCTCTCTGGCTGCTGCCCCAAGTTTGGGAGGCTGAGAAAGCACTGCCTTTTCCAGAAATCCCAGCAGGGAAATGGACTCTGCTGATTTCAGGAGCAAACTAAGCATCTCTGCTTGTGACAGGCACTGGGAGCCCCCAGGCAGTGACTGCTCCCCTGCCAGCAGCTCTGTGCTGCTGCTGCCCCAGGCACAGCTCCTGCAAACACACCCAACTGCCCTTTGGACTTTGCTCCAGGTACAGGAAAACCAGGGAGCAGCCAATCCAGCACCCTGCCAAGCCCATGTTTTTATGAGAAGTGGGTCAGCTCTCCCAGGCAGAAGCACCAGGAGAAGTGAGGCTGGAGAGAGCAGAGGTTTGGGTGGGTGTGTTGGGCTCTGAGGCTGTTCCTGTCAGGGTTTTAGGAAGAGGAAGTGGATAAGAGCCTGAGAAGTACAAGATGGTGACTGCAGGCTCCTGTCTGCTTCCCAGCAAGGAGAATACACCATCTCCAGGTGTCCATGGGCACACAACTGCCAGCTCAGATGGAGCACAGAGCCCTGACACTGGGGCAAGCAATGGGTCATCCCCTCTTCCCTTCTTCCAGTTATCCCCAGTCCTGATACCCTCCTTCTCTTCCAGTTATCCCCAATCCCACTATCCCCTTCCCTTCCAGTTATCCCAAATCCCACTATCCAGTCACCCCCAATCCTGATACCCTCCTTATTTTCCAGTTATCCCCAATACCCCTCTTGCCTTCCAGTTAGACCCAATCCCAACACCCCCCAGCTACTGGAGACCAGCACAGGCTCCAGAAACCAGAGCCACTCACTCCCCCCCAAGCCCCAGGCCACAGGGGTGATAGTTCAGCTCCAAGCCATTCCCAGCCTCAGGAAGAAACATCATCCCTTAAAAATGTGAGCAACAGGGTCTGTGAAGCTCAGGAATGCTGCTGGAGAGCTGAGCATTCTTCCAGTTACTTTTTTTAGTCCCTAAACTGGTTGTCCCAGAAGCCTGGGAGAGGAGGGGGAGGAGAGCAGCTCAGCTCTCCAGGAAGGGAACAAATCCCATGGGAGCAGCATGAGGAATGAGGACCCACCATCACCTCCCTCACCTCCTGCCCTGGGCTCCACCAGAGCTTTGGTTTTGATGGGAAAAGCCTCACAAAAAGGGACACTCCACGTTAAGGGAAGCAGCCCAGAGCATAGGGATTGGATTTTGGAACAGGGAAGTATCAATTGGGATGGAAGGTTGAAAAAAAAAAAGAAGGGAAAAGCTGGATAATGGAAACCAGATGAGGTTCCAGCTACAGGGAAGCTTTAACTGTTGCTTTCCTTGGGCCTCTGCAGGCACAAGGATGTGCTGTGCTGCCTTGGAATTGGAGAGGGGAAAATAAAGGGACATATTTGAGGTGTTTTAGATAGAAGGAAAAGCTCTGGATGCTGCCAGAGCCTCCTGGGCTAAGGGATCCATCCACAGCCCCTGGAGCAGTGCAAGGAGGTGCCACCCCAGTACCACCCAGGGCTAGAAGGGATGTGGGGACCCTCGGGACAAGATCCCACAGGGAGAGAACCCTAGGATTTGGGTGGGTGACATGGAAATACCCCCAGGAAAGAGGGTCCTGAGTGGGCAGCGTGGGGATACCCCTGGGAAAGGGATGGGTGGGGGGAGAACCACATCCCCTGGAGCAGCAGGAGGAGGTGCCACCCTCGGGACCCCCAGGGCTGGCAGGAGGGTGAGGGACACTCGGGACATTGGGGTCCCACAGCGATGTGACCCCCAGGACACGAGTGGGTAGGGTGGGAAGACCCCCCGGGAAAGAGGGTCCCGAGTGGGCAGCATGGGAATATCGCCGGGAAGAGGATGGATGGGGGGAGAACCACATCCCCC